GTGTCTGTGGGAGTTCTGTACAAGCAGGCTTTGAAGTATTTTCCTTCACAGAAGAGTTGCCTGGGTCAGGCAGTACTGTGCAGAAAGAACCACTTAAAATGTTCACTTGTGTCTCCCAATGCAGATAGCTAGTGAATTTTTACTCCAAGTCTTTGAAAGGAAGACTTGTGGCTAGGAGTTTTCTAGAGAGAAAATTGTATCCTTTCTCTGAGAAGCTCAGACAGCCCTCCTGCTGACTGTGATTTACTTCCGGAGAGTGCTGCCTTTGGAGGAGGGGTGGGTCCCAGCTCTCTGTGGGGTGGGGATGGTCTCAGGGAAGTCATCTGCCTTGTGTGGAGCCCAGGCTGGGGCTGAGGGTGTAGCTCGGGGTAGAGTGCTTGCCTAGCATGTGCAGGGCTCTGGGTTTGGTCCTCAGTACTTCAAACATAAATAGATAAATAAATAAAATAATAATGAAAAATCAAGCTCTGAGCCACCTGGGATCAGCACCAAGACAAACTAAAGCATCAGTATTGAGGGCAATCATGGCTCCACCAGGAGGCCGTGACAATGGAAGTTATTGTGGTTTTTTGAGACAGGTTCTCCCTCTGTTGCCCAGGCTGGCCTTGAACACCTGGGCTGCAGCGATCCACCTATCAGCCTCCCGAGTAGCTGAGATCACAGGTGCCACCTCTCGACTTTCTTTTTTGGGGGCTGGGTGGCGGTCTGGTTTTTTATGGGTACTAGGAATCGAACTCATGACCTCGCGCTTGCCAGGCAGGCGCTGTGCCGCAGAGCTAAATCCCGGCCCCTGGACTTTCATACTAGTTATTTTAACAGAGAGAATTTAATATCCAGGATTAGTAACTGGATGTTATTGCAAGACTACGGTCTGATGAAGAGGGGCTCCCATCCCGGGACTGGGGGGCCAGGAGAAAGAGGCGGGGAATGCCCGAGACGCAGATGGCCAGCAGCGTGGAGCTGGGCTCCTGTGGGGCTGAAACTCAGACCCCCGTCCCTGAGGGGCGGGACGAGGCTGGCTCTGAGGTGTCGGAAAGCTGCAAACTGGATTCATCAGTGGCCCTGGATGAGGTGCTATAGAGGCGCAGAAACCGGAAACGGTAGAGGCCACGCTATCAGGACCTACAAGTGGACAGGCTGGAGCCCCCGCGCCCCACCCTGCCGCTCGTGGCGTCTCTCCAGCTCCCCCTGTTGGCAGAGGCTGCTGAGACGCAGTTGACGTGCAGAAATGTGGTTGGCCCACGCCAGGCTACGCAGAGCTGAGAGTGGGGTGGATTCGAGCAGAGAAGCAATCATGTAATCATTGACGCTGCTTCCCTGCCTCTTTGGACTCTCTGCGCTCTCATTTCTGCCGTCCTATAATTCTTCTGGCCCTTCTGCGGGCTCGGTCTTTCATTTCCAAAAGGTGCTTACTTATTGTGCCTCTCTCTGTGAATAGTCTCTGCTGGGAGCTATCCTTAGGATTTGTAGCCCACAATACTGCCTGACATCAGGCTCCATGGAAGACCTTCGGGAAGGAGTACCAGATCTGGAGGTTAGAAACATCCATTTGGGCTTCCATGTGACCCAGCAGACCTCTTCCTGGGTGTTAATCCCCCGGAGGTGAGCGCAGCATGTCACAGAGACCTGTGCACACCCATGTTTACGGCAACATTATTCACAGTAGCCAAGATGTAGAACCAACTGCAGTGTCCAGCAGTGGACTACTGGATAACGAAAGTAGTATATGGATGTGTGGTGGAATATTATTCAGCCATAAACAATGAAATCCTGCCCTTTGCAGCAGCGTGGGTGGAGCTGAAGGACATTGTGTTAAATAAACTAGGCACATAAAGACAAACACTGCATGTTCTTATATATGGAAGCTAAGAAATTGATCTCCACAAAGAAGAAGAGAAGAAAATAGTGATTACCAGGCCCTGGGTGGGGTATATGGGGAGGTGGTTAGTGGTTACGGGGTGCAATTGAATAGGAGGACCAATTTCTAATGTTCCTTGGCATAGTAGGTGTCTCAGTTACTTTTCTCTCCTTGCTGAGACAAAATACCCATCGCCCGAAATTAAGGAAGGAAAGATTTATTTAGCTCACAGTGTGTGGAGGTTTCAGTCCGTGATCAGCTGGCTCCAAGGCAGGGTGTCATGGCACAGGGGCAGCAGTCCAAGGCGGCCAGAGACAGCAAAAAGGAGGAGCAGCAGAGTGAGCCTCTTTCCCTCCCTTACGTTCTATGCAAACTACCCACCCCAGGGCAGGTTTAGCACTCATACCCATTATCCCAGCATTGGACCATGAATCAATCATGAACTCTGGAAGCCCGCCCCATGACTGCATGAGGATTTGGAGGGACACACAGACACAAACCATAACAGTAGGATAGCTATGACCTACATTACAGTATGTATTTCAAGCTAGCTAGTAGAGAAAATTTTGAACGTCTTGTGTTAGTTAGCTTTTTGTTCCTGCAACCCGATACCTGAAAAAAAATCAATTCAAGGGAAGAAAGATTTATTTCGGCTTACAGGGTTAGAGGGTTCAGTCCCTGGTCAGGTGGTGCGTTGCTGTGGGCCCACAGTGAGGTAGAACCTCATGGTTGGGCAGAGCTGCTCCCCTCAAGGTAGTGGGGAAGTGGAGAGGAAGGGGCTGGGGACAGGGTGTGGTCCCCAAGATCACACCTCCGTGACCTACGCTCTTCAGCTGATTCTGCTTCCTACATTTCCGTCACCTTCAGTGATGCCATCACTTTATAATCCCATCCGTGCGTCAGAGCCGGAATCATCCAGCCATCTTCCAAAAGCCCCACCGCTGACCATGAGATGTTTGGGGGACATTGTGGGAAGAAATGATAAATGTGTAAATGTCTGAAGTGATGGATATGCCAGTTACCTTGATCTGGCCATTATACATTGTACTGAGAAGTGTCACACTGTACCCCATTAAAATGTACAATTACTATATATCAAATATATATATATTTTGGGGGGTTGGGAGGTATAACTCGGTGGTAGAGCATGTTTTGTTTTGTTTTGAGACAGGGTCTCGCTATGTAGTTCAGGCTGGCCTTGAACTCATTATGTAGCCCAGGCTGGCCTCAAACTTGTAGCAGTCTTCCTGCCTCAGCCTCCTGGGTGCTGGGATTACAGGGGTGTGCCGGCAGTGGTATAGCATTTACTTAGCATATATAAAGCCCTGGGTTCTATCCTCAGCATACAATAAATTTGTATATAAATTTCATGTGTCATATATCTCATATGTACTACATATATAATGGGATATATAATCAGATATATGTATCTCCACTGAAGCCAGGGCCTTCAAACAGCTATCTCTCCAGCCCATTTTTTGTTCATTTTCAGACAGAGTCTTGCTAAGTCAAGTTGCCTGGGCTCGAACTTGTGATCCTCCTGCTTCAGTGCTGGGATTATAGGCATGTGACACTATGCCCCACTCAAAAAAATAAATAAATAAATTTTCTAAAATTTAAACGTGAAAGAAAATCCTTCTGAGGCTATGTCAGGACAAGACTCAGCAGAGGCCCAGAAAAAAACAGGCAAGGCCTAGAAACCTCAAGACTGAAGCTGGAGTTTCAGACCCGTCCCCTCCTTGGGCCCCGCCCTCCGCCTGGTGTCTGGAAGGTGTCATCGAATCCAGCCAGCTCTGCTTCTCTCTTCTACCCAGGTGCTCCTGGTCACCTCATCTTTCATGTCCCCTGCCGAGAGCCGCAGTGGCTCAAACCCCAACCGTGTTCGCATTTTTGGGCCTGACAAGCTGGTCCGGGCAGCAGCTGAGAAGCGCTGGGACCGAGTCAAAATTGTGTGCAGCCAGCCCTACACCAAGGTACCTGGGGTGGGCGCTGAGGGTGCGGGGAACCCAGGGGCCAGTAACGCGGGAGGGGTGGAGAGCTGTGACCTCAGGGGTTCATGGGGAGGCTGGGTGCCCGCGTTCCCAGAAATGGGTTGGCATCCAACCCCTGATGAGAAGCTTAGTTCTTTTTTTTAATGGTTTTTCTCCGGTACTGGGAACTGAACTCACGACCTTGCACTTGCCAGGCAGGCGCTTTGCCGCTGAGCTAAATCCCCAGCCCCGAGAAGCTTAGTTCTTGGGAGTCCAGGCAGGCAAATGTGCCACGTCTGAGGCAGAGTCGGGGGAAGCTGACGTGTTAGAGGATGTCCAGTACAGTGGGCTTGGAGTTAACATCATGAGACTTAGTGAGCCTTGGGTCCAAATCCTCTCTGTACCACTTCTTAGCCGTGTGCCCCTGGGCAAGTGACTACCTTCCCTGGGCTCTGTTTCCTGATCTGATAGGCGCCGCCAAGCTGCGGTGAGTAGGTAATGGTCCCACAGTGCAGGTGTCCTTTTTGCCCCTGAAGCTGTCCGTGAAGCTGGTTAACTGCCTTCTTCCTGCAAGGTCGCTGAGGGAGGCAGGCTCCGCTCGTCTTCTGGGTCTGCTTCCAGCCGGTGGAGGGGGACAGAGCTGGGGGTACTTTTGTGTTCTAGAAGCGAGTCCCAGCACTCCCTCCCATTCCCAGGCAGGAATTTGGGAACAGGGAAGTGGATCTGCTTGCACAGGCAGCAGACTCTGCCCATTGCAGTGAGGGTCGGAGGAGCTGGTGCACGTGAGGCCTAGAGCTGAGCCTGGCCAGAGTTAGGACGCAGTGAAGTTCAGTGTTACTATCCTTACCCTCAGGGCACTCCTGGACATGTGTGTCCATCACAGATGAAGGGCTACCTAAGTGAAAGGGTCTTGGGCCCAGGCTCTGTCCTTAGCCAACGTCCTGACCCCCACTTTTCCTTTCGCAGGACTCTCCCTATGGCCTGAGTTTTATACGGCTTCATAGCCCTCCAGACAAAGAGGAAGCAGAGGTCCCAACCCAGGTAAGCACCACCCACCCCACCCCAGAGCCTTCTCCTACTTCTCCACCCTCACCTGCCACCGGCCCTCACATGGCCTCACCTTATGGGACCTTAGAAGGTGACAGTGACTAAGCTTGGCCAGTTCCGGGTGAAGGAGGAAGACGAGAGCGCCAGCTCCCTGAGACCGGGAGCCCTCTTCTTTGGCAGGATAAACAAGACATCCCCAGGTGAGTGCTGAAATCTAGTCCTGGGTCAGTAGAGGGTGAGGCCCTTGCCTTCAGAGGTGAGGATCTGAACCCTTGGGTCTGAGGGAGCAGGCTGGGCCTGGACTCCTAGGTCTGAGGGAGGAGGCTGGGCCTGGACCCTGGGTCTGAGGGAGGAGGCCGGGGTCTGAAGGCCTGAATCCCTGCTGGGTTTTGGGAAGGGCACTGTGTCTCCTAGGTGGGAACTAAGGCGTCTCTGGGTCCAGCTGTCTCATTAGGGCTCCACTTTCCTCCCTCTATAGCCACAGCCAGTGACCCAACAGGGCCCAGCTATGCAGCAGCTACACTCCAGGCCTCCAGTGCCGCATCCTCCACCTCTCCACTCTCCAAGGCTGTGGGCAGCAGCTCTAAGGTGAGGTCAGCAGAGTTTGGTGCAGGAACCAGACCTTGCCGTGGGAACGTGTGAGGTTGGAAGCCGCAGCTCTTCCCCACCCCCTCAGCCTCAGGAGACCCCCAAAGGGAAGAGGAAGTTGGATTTGAATGTAGAAGAAAGGAAGACCCCCAGCAAACCGCCAGCCCAGCTCTCATCTCCTGCCCTCAAGAGACCCAAATGTGAGCCAGCTGGATCCCGGGTTAAATCGGGGCCTGGGCTCCTGTGTCCTCAGGGAGGAGGGGAGAGGCTGAGCATGAAGGCCGAGTGGTGCTGACTAAACCTGTACTCTTCGGGTCCCAGTGCCAGCTCCCACTCGCACCCCCACCGCAGCCCCAGTCCCTGCTGTAGCACAGAAGGCTGGGCCAGAGAAGCCCCGCGGAGACGGCGACGAGCCCAGGGGAGCCCGAGCCGGCCCTCAGGAGCTGGGGAAGATCCTTCAAGGTGTGGTGGTGGTGCTGAGTGGCTTCCAGAACCCCTTCCGCTCGGAGCTCCGGGACAAGGCCCTGGAGCTGGGTGCCAAGTATCGGCCAGACTGGACCCCGGACAGTACCCACCTCATGTAGGCTGTGTCCCCCTCCCCACACCCGGCTGTTGCTCTCCCCCACCGCCTGCTCCTCGCCTGCTGTCTCACTGTGTCGCTGCTCCTGTGCCTCTGTCTCCCTTTGGAGGTCTTGTGCCTCCGTGGCTGTCTGCAGCCTGTGATTTCTCCATCCCTCCCTTGGTCTCTCCTCGCTGTTTCTCTCACACGTATCTTACTGCCTTTTCTTCGCTCCTTCTTTCTCTCTCTGTCACCCCCTATCTCCTCCACCCCTCAGATCACATCTAACCAGCACCCCTCAATTCTGTCTCCCCACAGCTGCGCCTTTGCGAACACCCCCAAGTACAGCCAGGTCCTTGGCCTCGGAGGCCGCATTGTGCGCAAAGAGTGGGTGCTGGACTGTCACCGCATGCGACGGCGGCTGCCCTCCCGGAGGTGAGGCCTCACGGTGGACACCCGTGTGGACGTGCAGCACGCGTGCCAAGCCTGCCTCACGCCCTGTACTGGGCAGTGCCAGGAGCCTGGGCCTGCCAGCCGAGTGTTGAGGTGCCGGCCCAGAGTCAGCCGGCTTCTGAAGGAAGAGGAGGCACAGGGGGCCTGCAGATTCAGGAAAGCGGCCCGCCTGGGAGTCACAGGATGTGGAACCCCAGATACGGAGGCCAACTGTGTTTACTTTTGAGAATTTTCCCTTGATGGAAAGGCATTTTCCTGGGGGCTGGGGATTTAGCTCAGCGGCACAGTGCCTGCCTGGCAAGCGCAAGGTCATGAGTTCGATTGCTGGTACTGGAAAAGAAACAAAGAAAAAAGAAAAAAGGCATTTTCCTAATGAGATTGACAGTGATTCTTGAAGAAGAAGGCAGCTTCAAAGTTTTCTTTCTTCTCTGAAACAAGACTTGTCTTCCCCAAGAGGGAGGGAACCGAGTGTGCTCAGGGCTCTGTGGCTGGGGGCCTGGCCGACAGGGGAGGGTGATTCCTGCCCTCAGTGATTAGTAAATGCCGGGGGCCACTGCCTCCTGCATAGCCTCTCCACCTCCCCTGGGAAACATGGTGCCCTGTTTGAGCCTCCATTTCTCCCCCAGGTACCTCATGGCAGGGCCCGACTCCAGCAGTGAGGATGAGGGGGGCGGTCCCAGCGGCAGCAGCGGGGATGAAGCCCCTAGGCCTCTAAGAAAGGTCTGCTACCCCTGCCTGGGGGGAAGGCGAATCGGGAGGGTGACATGGGTCTGCTGCGGTTCCTCAGCCTCTCTCGTTGTGCCTCCTACAGGCAGCCCCACTCACACTCGCCCTGCCACCCCTCCTCACGCTCACCCTCCCTTCTTAGCGCCCCCAGACCAAAACCAAGCCTCCCCTGGCATCTGGACCCAGCTCACCCCAGAAGCCCTTAAGCCCAAAAGAGACCAAAGCAGCCTCAGTAGGACCCCAGGAAAATTCTGACACGGAGGAGGAAGAGTCAGGTTAGACTACAGGAAGAGGGATGCGTTTTGGACCACCAGGGTCTGAGGGAGGGGCTGGGCCTGGACCCCGGGTCTGAGGGAGGAGAAAGCTGAGTTACAGACAAATAGAGTGGAAGCAGAGCGGTCCCAGGGTCAGGTAACTGGGTGTGGAGGTCAGCTGAGGTTGAGTTTGGGGTGCCTGAGTGTAGCCTCAGGTGAGAGGGAGGGTGACCAGAGGACAAAGCCCGGGCACCTCTCACTGACTGAGCTTCTGTGGGCAGCAGGTCGGGACCGTGGGGAGGAGGAGTCTGGGGACACTGAGGATGAGCTGAGAAGGTAGGTGGGGCTCGGGTCCGGGCAGCCTGGTGTTGGGTGTAGTGGTTCGCTCTGCGTGTCCACCTCCTGCTGCTCTCCGTCCACCAGGGTGGCTGAGCAGAGGGAGCACAGGCCGCCCCCTGGCCAGGAGGAGAATGGCGAGGAGGACCCCTATGCGGGCTCCACAGATGAGAACACGGACAGCGAGGATCGCCCTGAGCCTGCCGACCAGCCAATTCCTGAACTCCCAGGTAGGAAACCCCTGTGCCTCCCAGTTGTCAGCGTGACTCGCCCACCCAGCCCGGGAGCCTGCCGCCCACCTGCTCCCTGCCTCGAGCACCTGCTGCTGTGCGGGGCCTGTCCCCACCCCGCTGGCTTCCTCTGCGTGTCTTCTGTCTTTACTGCCTCCCGATTCCTGTTCTCACTGCTCCCTTATGCACAGTGCCAGTGTGAGCCCCCACCGACTCCCTCACAAGTGTCATCAGGGCCTGCCAGGTGACAAGGACACCGCTGCCCCTTGGGACCTCAGTGGCGGGCACACGTGTTCACTTTAGTGTCACTCATACTGGCACAAATGCTGGGTGTGTAAGAAGGGAAGGCAGTGGGAGCGCCATGGGCTTTGCCCAGTGGGGGATCATGGCTTCTGGTCAAGAACAGGGTCTGAGTGGAGGCCAGGTTTTGGGGCACTGGGGGACCTGTTCCCCAGCTTCTCATGGCTGACGGCAGGAAAGCACTTTGATCTTACACAGCCCTAAAGGGGCAGCAGTCAGTGGCCTGGAAAGTCATGTGAAAATTGGAAGAATGATGCCGGGCATGGTGGTGCACGCCTGTAATCCTAGCACTCAGGAGGCTGAGGCAGGAGGATCATTGCGAGTTTGAGGCCAATCTGGGCTACAAAATGAGTTCAAAGCCAGCCTGAACTGCATACCAAGACCCTGTCTCAAAAAGACAAAAAGGGAGAGAAAAAAAAAGAAAGAAAGAAAATGGGAAGAATGAGCCGGCTGGAGGTCATGGTGAGAAGGCAGCTGTCAGAACAAAGCTGCCCAGGTAGAGCAGCAGCTGGTCTGGGGCGGCCTCCTGGGCCGAGCTGATGCAATGGCTGCAGCTCATCTCTAAGGGACACGTTGTGATAAGTCATTGTATCTCCTACTAGTAAGGCAGACAAGTAAATAGACAAACCAGCCAGCCTCCCCAAAGGCTCTGACAGGCCGCTGGCGCGGGAGCCCTGCCATCACTGCCACATGAACAGCTTGGCCTCAGCCACCAGGCCACTTCCCTGCATCGGCTCCAAATGTTCTGTCTCTCTGGGTGGGGGTCGGGGCCTCGGACTTACCCATTCCACTGTCTCCTGCAGACTTCTTCCAGGGCAAGCACTTCTTCCTGTACGGGGAGTTCCCTGGGGACGAGCGGCGGAAGCTCATTCGATATGTCACTGCCTTCAACGGGTCAGTCTGGGCTGGGGGGTGATGGTCCAGAACAGGATGTGACAGGAAGGAGGCAGTGCAGAGGAGAAGGGGCGAGCCTGGCAGGGTGGGCACAGGCCGTGGGGTCTCAATGCCAGTTTGGTGCACTGCGGTCCTCAGGCCCCTCTCTAAAGTGAGGCTGTCCACCCCCACCAAAAGGGCTAGCACCCAGCTTACCACTGTGGGGTTGGTACGTGGGAGAATGGAGGCCTCACCGGCACCTGCGGGACATCGGTGGGGCTGGAGAGAGAACCGAACCTGGGAGAGACTGGGAAGTAAGGCGTAGAGGGAGCAGATGCTAATCCTGACATGTGCTCTGCCTCCCGCCCCCTGTCCTGCTAGGGAGCTCGAGGACTATATGAGTGACCGTGTCCAGTTTGTGATCACAGCACAGGAATGGGATCCGAGCTTCGAGGAGGTGAGCCCTGGGGGGGTCAAGGAAAGGGGAACCCTGGTCCCCCTTCACCTGCCCCATCCTCGGTTGTCTTTTCCCACACGGATCTTCTTGTAGGCTCTGATGGACAACCCCTCCCTGGCATTTGTTCGTCCCCGATGGATCTACAGTTGCAACGAGAAGCAGAAGTTACTTCCCCACCAGCTCTATGGGGTGGTGCCCCAGGCCTGAACCGTGCACTTGTGTGCACAGACGTGCACGGACACACACACAGTTTAATAAAGGTGACCTGCTTTGGAGCTGTTGCCCCGTCTCATTCAGGAGTCTGCCAGAGCTCCAGGAGGCTGCTGGCTTATGTCTCATGTTTGGTTTTGCTTCCACTGCAAAGGCCAGGCCTCTGAGCTACCTTAAGGCCCTGTCCTGGGATCCAGGAAGGAGGCCTGGCTGTGTCATCAAATGTGGTAGGGAAGAGGCTGTCTTCTCCCTGGCTCTGTGCCTCTGTGCTGGGGTAGACGGGGTTGGGAACTTGACCCTTGGCACTGACCCTGTGTATTCTGACCTTCAAGCCTTTTCTGCATGTGGGTTGCCCTTCCGTGGGATGTGGGCTGCAGGGCTGCATGCTCATGAGATCGGCTATTCTTTGTCTCAGTCTTCTGCCTCCTCCAGGGATAGAGCCTTTCCCCCAGGGGTTTCAGAGGTCACTGTGTGTGCATCCCTGTAGAACGCTTAATCCAGGAGGCAGAATCTGAGGAAGGGTTTTTTGTGTTTTTTTTTTTGTACTGAGAGTTGAACTCAGGAACTCATGCTTGTCAGGCAGGTGCTGTGCTGCTGAGCTAAATCCCTAGCCCAAAGGGGCATGTTAACCAGCCCCCCTAAGTCCTGGAAGGCTCCACCACACTGAAGGTGGGAACTAAGCCGGTGTCAGAGAATGGGGCAGAAGACAGGATGGCACTATAGGCAGGGCCAAGGGGCAAGGGAGGTAGGAACAGGCAGTTGGAGGGGCATTGCTGCTTCCGTGAAGAGGCTGTGGGGGCAGGTTTAGCTGGGAAGCTGGGTACAGTCCTTGAAGCTGTGCTGTCCAGTATGGTAGCCACCAGACACAGCAGCTAATTCCTAAAAGCAAAATGCAGACTTCCTCAGTAGCACAGGCCACACCTTTCCCAGTGCTCTGTGGCTACTCTATTGACGCAGGTAGCATGCGCTCCATCACCCTGGGAAGTTCTTTTGGACAGGGCTGAACTGTAGTCCGAGGAACCTGGACTGTCTGGGGGAGGGGACAAGTCAAGTGTGAGAGCTGACCTTTGAGTAACGTTGGACATTCCAAGCCCTTCCCTAATTTGGCCTCACCCCAAGCAAAGGCTCCCAGTCACACTGCCTTCTCTCTCCAGACCTTGGTTTTGTTACTAGTGAGACGAAGATGGCAGTGGGCTGTATGCACTCATCATTTGTTTGTTGATTCTCACTCAGGGTGCCGATCCCTCACTGCCACCCTTTTCTGGGGCTGCTGAAACAAATTTCTGCAAATATAATGGCTTCAAACAACAGATGTACTATATGTCAGGTCTGGAGGTCTGAAGTCCAGAATGGGCATCTGGGCTAAAAATCAAGGAGGGCTCTGAGATCCTTTTGCAAGCTGTCAGGGTGAACCTGCTTTCATGTGTTCTCCAGCTTCTACAGCTCCCCCTGCATCCCATTCTTCCATTTTCAGGGCCAGTGATGGCCAGTTACATCTTTCCCATGCCCCATTGCTGTGACTCTGCCTCTTCTGTCTCATCCTTCTTATACTGAAAGACCCTGTGATTACACTGAGTCCACCTGAATCATCTGGGATAATGTCTTTTTTTTATTAGTACATATTTGCAGTACATACTTACATTCATCTTAGGGAGAAGGTACCTGGACTTAACATATCTTGATTTTTTAAAAGTTCCTTTTCTTCCTCCCTCTCTAGACTCCCTTCCCCTTTTTGGGTTTTTGAAGCAGGGTCTTGCTATATATTTTATTTATTTTTTTGTTTGTTTTTTATTCCGGTACCAGGAATCGAACTCACGACCTTGCGCTTGCCAGGCAGGCGCTGTGCCGCTGAGCTAAATCCCCAGCCCCAGGGTCTTGCTATATAGTTCTGGCTGGCCTTACTCTATCTAGCCCAGGCTGGCTTCAAACTCACAGCAATCCTCCTGTCTCAGCCTCACTTTCTTTTTAATCTGTTTTAAGGTCAACTCATTTTCAGCCTAATTTCTTCTTTTACCGTAATTCTCCACCACATACTCCCAGGTTCCAGGGGTTAAGACGTGAACATCTTTGAGGGCCATTCTGTCACCATGTACAAGACACTAGGGACACAGTATGAAAAGACAGCAGTCTCTGAAGGGCTGACTTGTTCTAAGCAGGGAAAGATGGCAAGTGTGTACTGCAGCACTGGGGTATGATTTATGCCTTTTGTCCCTTAAGGATACACTCTTCTGTGGTTGTTAAATAACTCCCTTATTTCCTTCTACATATCTTAAGAATTCTCAAATTATTTCTTTATTTGTTCCTCCTCAAATTTAGATCTTAAGTTACCAGAAACATTTTTTGCGTGTGGTATGAGGTAGGATCAGTATTCATTTCCTATTGGCATAACACATCACTTCAAGCTTAGTGGCTTTAAACAACACAGGTTTATTTTCTAATCATTTTGGAGATCAGTAGTGCAAAGCCAGGCTCGTCTAAAATGAAAGCGTCCACAGGCCTGGAAGCTTTCTGGAGGAATCATTTCCTTGCCTTTTCCAGTTTGTACCAGCTGCCCAAATTCCCTAGCACTCTGGTCTCTGCCTCCATTGTTACATCTCCTCTCTACCCTCTTTCCCATATAAAGACCCTTTTGATCACACTAGGGCTACCTAAATAATCGGGGTCATCTCCCGCTCTCAAGAGAGGATACTTAAATATATACAAGGTCCCCTTTGCATGTGCACGCTAACAGAGGTTCTGGGGATTATACTAAAACATGGGGCATTACTCCACACCACAGGATTCCGTTTAACTTTCCATATATCATAGCCTCATTTACTGATAAGTCTGTCCTTTCCCTGCTTATCTACAGCAGTGGTTGGTAAATTGAAGCCCAGAGGCAAAATCGAGCCCACTGACTTCCTGTAGTTTTATTAGAACACAGCCGCACTCCCTGCATATGTAACATTGTGTATAGCTGTTTTTCCACTACAGCAGCAGAGTTGACTGTGGCAGACACTATGGCCTGTAAACCTATGAATATATATTATCTAGCTGGGTATAGGGGCTCGCCCCTATAATCCCACCACTCGGCAAGGCTCAGGCAGGAAGATTGCAAGTTTAAGAGTATCCTGGGCAATGCGGCAAGACCTTGTCTCAAAAAATAAAGCTCAGTGTAAAGGCCCAGTACCGGGAAGAGAGAGGGGGAGAACCAGAATATACATTATCAGATCTCTTATAGGGAAGTTTGTCACTCTCTGATGTACATGTAGGGTTTGTCATCTATCAATATAAATGCAGGTCTGAGTTCTCAGTTCCTCTCCAAGCCAACATGACAGATTTCACTAGTACAGCCTTGGTATAATTCTTGGGAAAGTGGGCAAGACAAGGCTCCCATACTGCTCATAAATGGCTGGGGTTTTTTTTGTTTTGTTTTGTTTTGTTTTTATGGTAGTGGGGATTGAGCCTAAGGCCTAACACATACTAGGCAAGAGCCCCCTCCCATTTTGATACAGGGTCTTGCTGAGTTGCCCATGTTGGGCTGGAACTTTGGATTCTTTTGCCTCAGCCTCCTAAACTGTGGGGATTGCAGGCCTGCATCACCGCGCCTTTTTGGGCCACTACTTGATTAACGTCCACTCTACTCACTAGAGCAAGTCTGTCAACACTGCTGCATCCCTAATGTCCCATGCGGGGTGCAGCACACAGGGGCTTAATACATATCTATGGAACAAAGAACTGTCCTATGCTAGGCTGTTCCTCCTGCTTTTAGGGTAGAGACAGATCCAAAAGGGAACTGACTTGCCTGAGGTGATGCTTGCCCCTCACCAATGCCTTAAGACATCCTCATTTTACAGGTAAGGCATCTGAGGCCGGAGAGGTGACAGCATTTGTCCAAGGACTCAACTCCTAAGGAGGTGTTCAGGGCTGGCTCCAAGGTTTGGGGCCTTCAGATGTGATAGCACTGTCTGGGGCATGCCCTTTATTTTTCCTGTATCACGTTGTATGTCTCCAGGCTCTTTCCCCACCAGCGCGTGGAGTGATGACTTTCTTCCTACCCCTATATTCCATTCCACGGCAGCACTGTCATTCATTGCTGGCCCCCACTGGTGGGCATGTGGGCAGTCTCCTGTCCGGCCACAACCATCATGATGTAGTGAACATCCTTACCTTTATGCCCTTTGCCATGCTTGAGTTTACAGGACAAATTCCAACAGGTGGAATAGTTTGAGCAGGCAAACGTGTGTCTTAAATGGTCCTGTGGCCAAGGTGGAGTCATCAAGCTAAACGTTCAGCACCATAAAGAGAGCCTGTTTGCCCACATTCCTCACCAAGCCAGGATACCTGCAGACTTTTACCTGTGCCATCCAAGTGGGAGGGGAGAACCAGACAGAGCCAGCACCAGCAAACCATAGCTCCAGGTCCATAGTTATGGACCCAGGGCTGGGTCTGGTTGACACCTGTCCCTCAGGTGAGCACAGTCTCCCAACCTCCTACTTTCAGGCCTGGTGTAAACGGCCAGTCTTCCTGCCAGCTCTCTGGAAGAGGCAAATCTCTACACGGCCTAGGAATCCCACCTCTTTATTGATGGGGAAGGCAGCACAGGTGGCCTGGGAGCCACAGGGAGCGCTCACTCTCTTTCCCCCTGGCCCTCCGCCTGGCGGTGGCCCCGCTGGTGCACAAGCAGGAGGCGTCTCTGGCCAAAGGCCTGGCCGCAAGTGGAGCAGCGGTGGCGGCTGGCGGCCTGGCTGCCCGGTGCGGTGGGCGGATCGTGGCAGAGGCGATGGGCGGCCAGCTTGGAGGGGAAGGAGAAAGCCTTGGGGCAGTGCGGGCACGGATAGGGGCGAGCGTCAGTGGCATGGTGCGTGTGGCGGTGGGCTGCCAGCTTGGAGGGGTAGCAGAAGGACTTGGAGCAGTCAGGGCATGGGTAGGGGCGGGTGGGAGCGTGGGTCCAGAGGTGGGCGGCCAGCTTGGAGCGGTGGCCAAAAGCCTTCGGGCAGTGCGGGCACGGGTGTGGGCGGGCGCCGCTGTGCGTGAGGCGGTGCGCTGCCAGCTTGGAGGGGTAGGAGAAGGCCTTGGGGCAGTCGGGACACGGGTGGGGCCGGGTGCCGCCATGCGCTAACCGGTGCGTGGCCAGCTTGGACGGGTAGGAAAAGGCCTTGTCACAGTCGGGGCAGCGGTGCGGTCGCTGGGGCGGGGGCCGCCGACGGGGCCGGGAAGGCGCGCTCGCCGTTGCGGTGGGCCCTGGAGCCGACTGGCTAGGTTTCTGCGCTGGGCCCTGGTGGAGATCTGGGGGACAGGAGGGCTGGTGGGCTTCAGGAAGCACCCAACGTCCTAGTCCTAGGCAAGACTCCACCACCACCATGGAGGGGCCCCTCAAAGTGTATCTGAGCATTTCAGGCATCACACTGATTCATTCCCCAAATGGCGTTCTTTCTGCTCCCCGCCCCCACCCCGTGCATCACTCTAAGGGGCTCCAGTGGATTATGTTCCTGTACTCCCAAACCACTCAGGCTTCCCCAGAGTGCCTACGGTATCCATTTCCAGTATCTTTCCAGGGGTCACCCTGGAATCCCACATATCAACCCTCTGGTGCTTCCTGTAATTTCCTGAGCCCCAGCAAATGATCAGGGAGGGTCTCCCAAAACTAATCGGAAAGATTCCCAGGACAGTGTATTTCTGGGGCTCCAATGGTCGTAATCCTGGATCTACAAACTTTCACCCTAAGATTCTCCTACGTGATTCTTTTAGCTCCCATTCCTGGGGAATGGTCCCTACCCACAGGCAGGGCCCTCTCACCTCCTCCTTTGGTCACCGGGTCCTTGCCAGAGGGGCTAGGCTCTGTGCTCCCGGCCTGGGACTTCGCACCTCGCTCCAACATCTTGCTGGCACAGGAACCTAGGGGTTGGGTGGGGGCGGGTGTGTTGCTGGTGATCAGCAGGTTGATGGGGATAGTGTTAAACGGCCAAAATCAGCTTGTCAGTCCATTTAGGAGCAGGGTCTAGGGAAGTCTGGGATGTTAAGGCCAGGCCAGGGGTACAGGAAGGAAGGTTCTCTTAGGGAGCACAATCCGCCGACCCATGGAAATTTAACCAAGAGGCCGTCTCTTTGCAACTCAAACAGGGGGTTGGAGCCTTGGGGAGAGGAGGCCGGGGAGTCTGCAAGATGAACTCCGGGGCCCAGGCTGAGCGAGGAACGAGTGGGGCCGCGTTCAGAGTGGGCGGAACCTTCCCCTCCAGACCCCGGACCCAGAGAGCTTCTACAGTGGGAATGGCGGAGCTCTGAATGCCAGAAGGACCAAAATCAGCAGCGCCGGGACACAGGCCCAGGGGCGGGGCCTTGGAGCGGGGTGGGCGGGGCCTTTGCGCTCTGTCCCAGGGGAGGGGCTTGTGAGTGCAGTGGGCGGGGTCTCACGTCCAGGAGGTGGCTTCTCCCAGCTCCTGCCTGAGGCTCAGTCCATTGCCGCTGCGTCCACCGCGTCCTTCCTGTTGTTAAATTTCACCCTCTGCGGAGGGCTGGGGGAGTGCAGAATAGTGGGGAGCTGCAGAAAGACGGAAGGAATGTGGCCTGTGCAGCAGTCCTGAGCCCCCTAGTGAGCTTTTCCCTGGGGAATCCACGCATCCCGCACTCAGTGCACCCCTCGGAACGGGGGCTTCTAGGCGCCAATGCAAAGTCCCATGCGGACCCCCACCGATCCCCTGAGGAGGATCCAGGCGTCGCCCCAATCCTTTCCCGTGGACCAGGCGTCCGCACCTGGACCCCGCCCTTCTCACCTGCGGGGGCGGCCTCTCCCGGGGGCGGGGCTCCAGGCCACTCCCGCCTCGGCCTCTCTGGCTGCGGCTTCCGCTGCGCAGCCCTGGGACCCGCCGGACCCGCCGCCTGGGAGCGGAGGGGAGGGGAGGAGGGAGCCCCGCGCGCGGCCGGGCCCAGCCTCACTCCCATCCCCTCCTCCCGCGCGCCAGAGGGGGTGTCGGCACGCCTGCGCAGTTGCGGCCAGCCCAAGCTGCGGAGGGGGCAGCCGGAAGGGAAGGAGGGGGTGGGAGCGCCATGCGGGCGAGTTCTCCAGCGAGCGCGAGGCTGCAGCCGAAGGACCGCGGGGAAGCGCGCCGCTGCTGCGGGGCCTACGGTGGCTGAGTGGAGTCAAGCGCGGGCCAGACGAACGTGGACGGCCTGCGCTTGAAGATCAGGAAGAAAGCTCCCACGCGCAGCCCTCTTTATAAATGCCTCTCTTATTTTCGAGAATTCCACAGGGAACCCCAGTTCGGTCTCTTCACAGTTCGTTGCCAGTTCCACCCCTCCGGGCATTTTCAGAAAAGTCTGTCCATTTCTTCGCGAGGACAGGAGCGCGGAACTCAAGCAAAATGGCCCCCAGTCAAAGACACTATTTGCGTAGCGCCTCGGTACCCTTGCCCATTGGGTGATCTAGGCTTCTCCTTTCCCTGGGCGTGGTGGTCCAGGTGACCAGGCCCGGCCTCTGGGTGCCAGGAGGAAAAGGCATGCAGCTGGGCATTCTTTCTAGGGAGTGCTTGTATAAGTGCTGGAATGACAATGATGTTCCCATAAAAATCCTCCGCAAGGGTGGGTCTCCAGCCTGAAAATCCGCATGGTCTGTGACGTCTGAGAGCCCTGGGAGTTACTTGATGGGTTATTTGGGTTCTGAGCCAGACCGCCTGGGTAACTGCTTTGATTTCTCACCGCAGCTACTCACTAGCTGTGTGACCTTGGCTAAGTCACTTCGTCTTTCTGGGCCTCGGTTTCCTCATGTATGATATAGAGGGTTCTTGGGATTAAATTCAGTAATCAATGGAAAATGTTTAGAATGCAGAATGGCTATAGAGTGCTCAATAAATGTTATCAATATTTTTGTTTTTACTGGGCATTGAACTTGGCCTGATAGGGTCCAGTTATCCCAGGAACAACTTGACAGACCTCAAGAAGGAACACACTGTACTCAGGGGATCCCTCCTTTTACATCTAGCAATGTTGCAGTCTGGCCTTCCTTCCAGGTCTCCTCTGAGCCATAGCCAGTCCTATCTCGGGGTACTGTCCTTAGGTCTCAGATCGAATGTTACCACAGCCTCTTTGCTCTCCACTTCTTTCTTCCTTTTATTTGAAACAGGGCCTCATTGTGTAGTTCAGGCTGGCCTCAGACTTGGCAGCAATCCTGCCTCAGCCTCCCAAACCTGAGTGCTGGAATAACAGCTGTATGCTGCCACGCCCGGCTTTTTTTGTTGTGTTTTTTTTTTTTTTTGAGACAAGGTCTCACTATGTATGTAGTTCAGACTGGTCTTGAACTCACTGTGTAGCTCAGGCTGACCTCAAACTCAGTGATCCTTCTGCCTTGGCCTCCCAAGTGCTGGGATTACAGGATCATGGCCATTTTATGTTTGTTTGTTTTGAGACAGGGTCTCACTATGTAGCTCAAGTTGGCCTCAAACTCACCGCGATCCTCTTGTTTCAGCCTCTGGAATACTGGGATTTCAGGCATACACTACCATGCCTAGCTTTCAATGCCATTTAAAAAGGCTCACTTCGGTTGCCACACAGAAAATAAAAAAGAGGCAAGTAGAAGCCAGAAAACCAGTGAGTCCATTTATATACTAATTACAGTATTAATTGCTAGCATTTATTAAGTACTTCTGTACTGGAAATTGTCCTTATGTGTATTAATTATTTAATCACCGTGGTAATTTGCTAAGAGGAGGTGCTATGCTGCACCCTTGTGTGGAAGAGGAAAATGAGGCACGAAGGGGACGGTTGAGTGCCAAAGGTCACACAGCCAGGCCCCAGGCAAGACTAGTTGAGCCAGGATTTGAACCCTGTAGGCGGGCCCTGGAGTCCAGGCACTGTGCACTGTGGCTCTGCTGCCTCGAGACTGGGAAGGAAGGTGTGGTGATGGACTGGCAGCCTGACTGGGGCCAGGAGATGGGCTGGGTGGAGGGGAAGGGAGGAAGGCGTGGAGGACCATGGGGAAGTCACAACGGCCCACGCCCGCTGAGCCTGTGTGTGCCGAACGCATTTCCAGACTAAGGTGCGAACTCACTGGGTCTTCACGGAAGAGGAGGAAACTGTTTGCAGCTTTGTTTTACAGAAGAGAACGATGAGATCCCCAAAAAGTAAATTTTCAGCCCAAAAAGATGAAGCCAAGGTTTCCATTGCTTAGGAGGGCTCAGGGCTGAGCCTGCAGAAACCCCAGGAGGCCTTCCAGGGTCAGCATGGGACCTAGAAACCCTGCAAACACAAGGACCCCAAGGTCTTATTTAGGGGCCATCGCATAACACGTGCTGAGGGTCCCTGTTTCCCTGGCTCCCCCCTTCTCTGCGCTCCCCCAGTCCCTGCACCTCCTGATGTCCCACCTTTCTGCCCCATGACCCCAACTGGAGACTGAGCTCTGGGGCCCAGCTTCACCCCACTTGGGCCAGCTGTGCAGGAGACTTCCTGGCTCTGGGTGTTTCTTCTGCCTGTTTCTCCCCTCTCCCGAGGTCTGCTCTTCCCCTCTGCACATTACTCCCTGCTCTGATCTCCCAGAACCTCTTCCCACCCCTCAGCATCTCCCAGAATCTCCAGGTATATCGTGGTGTCTCCATTTCTGTGTAGCAAGCCCGTTTCAATCCTCTGTGCCTCTGAGTACCTCTGGAGGATCCCTGGGCCTCCTTCTATGGTACTTCTGCCTGTCAGCTCACTTGTCTCTGAGTGGCTGAGTTTTTGCTTCGCTGAAGGCCACCAAAAATACACAATGGAGTTTGGCAAATTTGGTTTGGTTTTATTTATCTAGAGATAGGGTCTCGCTATATAGTTCAGGCTGATCTTGAACTCACTATGTAGTCCAGGCTGGCCTCAAATTCCTGCCATCCTCCTGCCTCAGCCGCCCAAGTACTGGGATAATACCACCACCACACCCAGCAAAGTTGGATTTTATTGACTTGCTATAATGTAGGGGAAAGGACCACAGAGGAAGCCCTGACTAACTTTTCCAAACACAGGGCAAATGGAAACACTGAAATGATGCCCCAGATTTGGAGGCAGATTTATTTTATGCCAACGGACACTGATGGGGATCATTCTCAAAATATCAGGCCTTGATCTCTGGTGGTCTAGGGCTTATATGAGATAAGCAAGCAGGAAGTACAGAAGCAGGATGGCTTGTCAATTGGGTATTGGTTCTTACAATATGCATCATAGTGGCCAGCTATGCATCACAGTGACCAGCCATTTCTTTTCTTTTTTTCCTTTCTTGGAACAGGGTCTCACTATGCAGTTCAGGTTGGCCTTGAGCTCACTTTGTATCCCAAGCTGTTCTTGAACCCCCAACGATCCTCCTGCCTCAGCCTCCTGAGTGCTGGGATTACAGGCATGCCCCACCACACCCAGCTCGCCATTTCTAAGAAATAAAAGTAACAGGACCTGTAACCAGAACAATTGCTTGGTCAACTAACAGAGTGAAGTACACTGGCTTGTGGAGTTGGGTTCTTCTGCTACATTTCCCCTCTCTTTAGTTTTCCCAGCAAATCTTTGCTGGGCATGTTATATGTGTTCTGAGACAAGGCCCAACTAGAAGTGGTTCTGTATTGTTTTATTGGGACAACCATCTATAGCGTTTAAGGCAAAAACTACAGCTAGCAGGGAGACAGGGAAGCAAGGACTGGGGTAAGTAGCCTGTAGTAGTTCTGCCAGTTTTGAGTTATCTCTGCTATAAGTGCAGGTCCATTATTGCTGCCAGTGGTCAAGGGTAGGCCATATCTAGGGACAGTGGGACCCTACAAATTTTTGTTTTCATGGCCAGCCTGAGTAGGTACAGATGAACACTAGGTCATGCCAGGTGGAGGTCAAGGCCAGTGACACGGACGCTGAAGCCTGGGCCGGCTGCGGGGGTACAGGTGCCAGTGCTGTGGCTTGAGCTTGCAAAACAAACAGTGGGGGCAGGTTTGGCTCTGGTCTTCCGGGAGTACCAGGTTAAGTTTTTCTAGCTGGGGTTAATGTTTCAATCAGATCCCTGGAGGGGGCTTAGAAATGCAGGTTTGGCACTTTTGGTGGCAGGTTTCCAAACAGCAGCAGGAAGCAGGAGTAAGAGAGGTCTGGCCAAAATAACTTTGTCCAAGGCAACCACAGCATATCCAGTACAGTATGTAGCAATTGAACAGTTAGGTCTCAGCCTAATATTTTTTTTTTGTTTTTGTTACTGGGAATCAAACTCACAACCTTGTGCTTGCCAGGCAGGTGCTGTGCCACTGAGCTATATCCCCAACTCTCTCAGCCTAAGGTGAACTTGTCAGTTTTCTTGGTCAGGAGGACAGTGGCTGTTAGAGCATGGAGGCAGTGGCGGGGAGGGGCAGCCCTTAGTGACTGAATCTAAGTATTTGCACAGGCAGGCTGCTGAGCACTCCCAGGGGCTGACAGTCTGAGTAAGCATCATTGCTTGTTTGTTTTTTTCTTTTGTCTTTTTGAGACAGGTTCTCGCTATGCAGTTCAGGCTGGCCTTGAGCTCACTTTGTAGCCCAGGCTGGTCTCGAACTCACAACGATCCTCCTGCCTCAGCCTCCCGAGTGCTGGGATTACAAACGTGTGACACCACGCCAGCAGCATTATTGTTTTTGTGAACTCAAGGATCCCAATTCTGTAGAAGCCAACAGCTCTAAGAAATTTGTGGAGTTTCTTTTTCATAACCAGTTTCTGCCAGAGATTGCAGCAGAGCTTTTGTGTCTTTCCCACAGGCAGCTTGGGTGTCATTAATCAGAAGGGCCGTGATATTTTGTGCTGGGAAACTTGCAAGGTCAGCTGTGAGGGCTTCCCCAAAGAGGACAAACAAGTTTTTGAACCTCTGGGAAGGTTGAGTCCAGGTGAGTTGACTTTTGAGTCCAGAACTGGAGTCTTTCCACTTAAAGGCAAAGAGGGGCTGGCTGACAGCAGAAGAAGGCAGAAGAAGGCATTCTGTAGGTCCAGGCATGTGTACCAGTAGGCTCTGGGTGGCAGAAGACTGAGGCAACGGATACGGAGGGCAATCATGGCAGCACTGGCAGCTCAGAGATCTTGAACTAGCTTTACAGGAAGGAGAGGTGCATTTTAGCAGTTTGACAGTCTAAAGACATTTTGCAGTTTTGAAGCCTCATTTTTTTTCTTTCTCAGGGGACCATGATGGA